GTGAGGGTCCCAGAGCTTCCTTTTGCTCCTCGAGCCTCCTGGAGGCTGCTGGCCTCACTCTCTTGTTTAGTCTGGTTGAACTCAGCGCCGTAGCTCGCCCTGTCCTCGGTGGGATGGTTGATAGGTGATTCATCCAGCCTGCTGTCCGCAACTGCAGGGCGCTGGCACGGCCGCAGTGGAAGGACTGAGGCAGACTGAGGCTGCTGGATGCTGTGTGCGAGCGGTCTGAGCCTGCTCCCAGCCATTTTCATTCCTCAGCCCCCGTTCCTGCCCGTCTGAGCCTCCTGCCATGAGAAATGTGCTCTCTGGAGAGCACACTGCCTGCTCACCCTTGCAGACATGCAGCTGAGCTGGGGATGTCCTCCTCCTCCTCCTCCTCCTCCAGAGATGGAGTTGAGTTCCTGGATGGTTATCCCAGAGTGCCACCAGTGGGATGACCCCTGGCTATGCCTGCTGTGGCCAGGAGAATTCTGCAAAATTCCCAGAATGGGAGGCCCTCTGCAAGCTCCAAGTTTGCTGTTATTTTCCTCTATTTTAAGGAGAGCCACCAGAGTCAGTGTAAAAAATGCTTAGAAAACAAAAAAGAGGAGATTTGCCAAACTCCACAGCCATGCCTGTGGATGAGGGCAAGGCAGTAGCAAGGGGAGAGAAGGGAAATGCCACCTGGAGGGAGCTGCATCTTCCTGACAGTTATTAGTAGAGCAGAGATGGATTTTCAAAAGCTGCCTGGGAAGTGGATGGTTTGGGGAAGATCAACCCTGGGAAGGCATGGAAATGAGGGAGAAGGAAAGTCTTGCAAGGATATTAACTCCTTGCACTTAGGAGTGTAGGCATCCCGTTGCTGAGCACAACTGTTCCATAATTTGTAGTCAATGAGCAGCTAGTGACATTTTTTGCTCTATGCACAGCATTTTCCATAGTGATATTGAGCTCTGTTCTGGGTTTTTTACTACTGAGAAGTGAACACAGGTGAGGCATCCTCATAGGAGCCAGTTATTTGTCCTTGATATCTGTAACAGCTTATTGCTTTATTTAGTATGACATCAATTATTTATTACTATTAATGAAGGACACAGATGTCTGTCTGGTCAATAAAATATCTCCTACTCCACAGAGATGATCTACTTAGCTATCATTTACTCTGCAGAGAACCTTTGGATTCTTTCTGAAATTTAATAACACAAGCAAAGATACTCAGGCAGTCTAGAAGGTTTGTGCTTCAGGGCTGCTTTGGGAGGCTGAAATCCTTCTTTATATTTGCTGGCGGGATGTGTCAGAACACAAGTCCAGATGGGAAAAAGAAGCCCCTTTGCTTTCCATCACAAGCTACTTATCCATGTAATCCCTGTTATAAAGTGATCAAACTCCTTCCTAAAAGAGGGTTAGGTTATTTGCTCTTTGCAGGAATAGCCCAACCATTTATCCATGTCCAATTTACATCCTCTTGCCATTACTGTCCATTAACCTAACTATTGCTTTTCCGTCTAAGTGCCTGCCCTGTTGATGTGTTCACAGTCATGTGTCTCTATTTGGCCTTTTTTTCCTGTTTTTTTTTAGGGACTTTGGGCTTTTTGTTCTTTCCCTGTGAAATCTTCACTCCTTTTCCTGTGCCTTGGTCTTGAGCACAGTTGAGGAATGCTGTGCACTTAGTCCTCACGTGGTTTCATGCAGCTGGATCAGTGTTCTCCTGCTGCTACATGATCCCAGGATAATTTTTTCTTGGTAGGGCAACATTACTGGTCAATCAAGTAGCCCAAGTGTCCAAAGGCAGGTTGGAGAGGGCTTGGAGAAACTTGGTCTAGTGGAAGGTCCCTGCCTGTGGTTGGGGGGTGAGGTAAAAGGGGATGACCTTTCTTGTCCCTTCCAATCCAAACCATTCTCTGATTTATGATAATTCTCTCACCATTCCACCAAAAGCAGCTGTTGCTGTTGCTTTAGCTCTGTTCCACTGACAAAGTCCCAGTCTAAATCTAGGGAATAATTTGTTTTCTACTGCTAAAGAAGGCTTAGGAAATTTCATTCCAGCTGTTCTCAGAGCACTGAGGACTGAAGGGTCTCTGCCTTCTCTTTTGTGAGATGAACAAATACGGTCTCTGTGTGCTCTGCTTTGCCCAGGGGAGAGCATGGAATAGCAGCTCCCTGCACTGGCTGCAGACTGGCAGCTCTGGGTAGCTGCTTTGTCCCCACGGTGTCCCTTCCCTGTCTTTGCTCCATGGTCTGTGCAGTCTGGCACCACCAGTTATCTCACTGCTGCTTGTTCTGGTACAGAAAAACTCCCAGCCTTCAGGCTGAGATTCCAGCATCTTTGTTAGTATCTATTTTGCTGTGTTCATAATAACCTCCTTGCTTTGCAGAGCCAGCAAGAGGGAAGAGTTCCCCAGAGGTTCAGGACTGAGCAAAAAGCACCCTCTTGCTTTGTGGATTTTATTGCAAGGGTTTTGGCTCAATCCAAGTGGAGACCCTCTTGGCAGACCCTGCAATCTTCATTTCCTCCTGTGCAGGGGGACAGAAATGCACTCCACTCCCTGAGCAGGTCTGATCCATGGCAAACCACACCACTGTGGGAAGCAGCTGCTGATGTGTGTCAGGGCAGTGCTCCCTGCCAGCCTGTTCCCTCAAAACTACCCAGAAAGACCATGGAATATGAGCTTTCAAATGTTAGTGTATGTCCTAGACAAAGTTAGCTGTGCAGTTTTAATCATAGAATGGTCTGGGTTGGAAAGGACCTGAAAGATCATCTCATTCCAACCGCCCTGCCTTGGGCCTGTCCTGCCCTTCCACCAGACCAGGTTGCTCCAAGCCCCTGTCCAACCTGGCCTTAATACATTCTTTGATTCAGTGGTTGCACATGACATTTTCCATCTCATTTCCAGTCTCCTGCAAGTCTGGTTCCACCCTCTCCCTGTCTCAGCCCATCCCATCTCTTGTGCTCCCTGGCACAGATATCCTGGCTGATCCTACCTTGGGGCTGCCCAGTCCAAATCTTGGACTCCAAGTCCCCTTGACCTTGCCCAGCTCTCACTGCAGTCCCTGCCCAGATATTTTCTTTCCTAGCCCTCATCAGCTGCTTAGAGGAAGATGTGAGATCCCACAGCATTCATCCATGGGATGATCTGTCCCCCCATGAAGCTTCTTCCTGGTCAGAAGGGAAGTTGCTTGAGGCTGAAAGAGCCTTAAAGCCCTTTGCTCTACTTCAGCAACACATTCTGGTCCTTCTTCTTTGTTGGTGATTCATCAGGTTTGTAAGTCATGGCAGAGTCTGTTCTCAATGACTTCTGGTGACAGGGAGTTCCCCAATCCAGCCCAATGTTGCAGGAAAAGGGATGGAAATGAAAATTGGAAATGAGTAATAGGGGTTTGTTTGTTTGCTTAAACCATAAACCCAGAGCTGAGGGACTTGTTGAAGGCTGGGCAGCGCTCGTGACTTCCAGGCAAGGATTTTCCTGCTGCCAACCCAACCTGCCTGTTGAGTTGTCTTGGGATTTGGGACAGACCTGCATCCAGGAGCTGGGTTGAGCTACACAGACTGGTGACAGAGCTGCCTGGAAAAGTTTGGAAAGAACAAGTCATGCTGGGAGCATTAAAATGAATAATTAAGGCTTGGATTCCTTCAGGGAGGAAAAGAATTTATTGCTGCTCTTTTCTCTAGCCAAGGGGGATATTTGTTACTGAGTTGTGTGTTTTGAGACAAGACGCAAATGCGGTTTAGGGGGCTGGGGATGAGCGGATTTTTTTTCTTCTACCTGGATAATTCAGCTTCACAGTGGGATGTTCTGGGCTGGTTATACCACTGGCTTGTTCCTTAGGGTTGTACCGAGAACTGGTGCTTCATTTCAGTACTCCTCAGTTGCTTTTGCCTTTAGAAAAACAAAAGTGCTGAGAAGGGAATTCTCCTTCTCCCTCCGCTGCGATGTCTTGACATTTCCACATGCACAAGGTACCTGGCACAGCAATCTGGGCCCAGCTTGGCTTACACCAGCACAGCTATCACCTACAGCAGCCTTGCTCCGATTCCCACCACTGGGAATAGGGCACAGCCTGGGCAGATGCTCTGTCTTATTTGCCTCCATGGTACCTCAGGCTTTCAGTTACACCAGTGTGAAATGGGAATTAAATGCAATGAGCTCTAACCAACAGACAGGCTGCCCACTGCGAGGAGACAGGTTGCACAGCGGTGGACAGTCATGCCCAAAAACCTTAATAAATGGAGCATTTTCAGTTTCAGCTGGGTCATGATCTAAGTGTTTAACAGGCTTTATAAACTACAAGACTAAAAAGAAAGGGTTTTCCATATTTTTAATTAGTGGGGATTTTTTTCTTCGAATGCTTATAAAAAAACAAGTGTTCTTCAGCACAACTGAAGGAGATCCAGTCAGAGCTCCAGGAGCTGGCAGAGTGCAGATGAAAGAGAATGCAAAGCTACTGACTGTCATTAAATTTAAAAAAAAAAAACAAACAAAAAAAACCAAACCAAAAACAAAAACAAACAAAAAAAATCACATTGAGAGCAATTCCACCCAACCACTAAAAATATATTTTTTGCTGTTAGTCCAACATGGCAGAAACACCTTTTGCTGTGGCAGGTAATGTTTGGAAAAGACCATGCTTTGTTTAAGCTCTGGACATGCAGCAAGGGCAGGAGATTCCTGTTTAGCCAGGCTTCTAGATCTTCTGTAGCCCACCTCTGGATGGTGGTTCTGCCTGCAGTGTCTGCAGTGAGGCCACACATCCCCTCTGTGCTGTGATTGCAGCTGGCTGTGCAGTGACTTAGCCCTGGCCCCCATTCCTGCTACAGCTGGTGGCCCAGGTGTGTTTCCTTCTTGCTGTGTCCATAGGTGACACTCTCCATACAGACTTGTGGTGTTCCACAGCCACAGCCAGCTGGAGTTTGTTCATTGCGTGTCCTGCGTAGAGATGTTCCAGCAGTGATTTTTAAGTGGTCAGCAGTAATTCTACACCTGTATTGATGCTCTGGTCTTGCTCCTCTCTTTGCTCTGCAGGAGAATCCTTGAGCTTTGCAGATGATTTGCTCTCTGGCCTGGCAACCTCCTGTGTGGCAGCGGGTCGGAGCCACGGAGATGTCCCTGAAACCAGCCTCTATTCAGTTATTTTCAAGTGCCTGGAACCAGATGGTCTGTACAAGTAAGGAGCGACACATGGGGAGCTGCTGGGGGCAAGGAGGGGTCTCCAATGCTGTTATTGAATTGTTAATCACCTTTTTGGTCAGCACTGTGTTACTCCAGACACAGGGCAAATGGTCAGACTCTTCCTGTTGCTTTGGATGTTACACACAGCTGGTGAAATGGAAAACAAGTGTCTGCCAGCATAGTGCTGGGGGCACTGGGAGTCCATGGGACACCCCAGGATAACAGCTACTTTCAACATTCTAGGTTTCCAGGTCCATGCCTGGTGGACAGGGTTGTCTCTGATGGATGAGAGACATCAGGGTTGTCTCTGATGTGGTCAGATTGGAGCAAGTTGCCAAGTGCCTGGTGGAATGAAATAGATGTCAAAAGTATGACACGTGTTTATAAGTTGCTGTTTCCCTTAGCAGGATATATTTGAGATCAGAGAGACACCAAATCTTTCTTCCCACTGCCCACATATTGTGGACATTTCACTCTTCTGAGATACTTTTTGGGGGTTGAATTTTCTGTTTGAATCTTGTGGATTCATGAGTTTCCAGAGCAAAGGGATAATATCGAGAACTGAATTTTAACTTCTCCTTTAGAATCATTTGGACAGGGTCTGGGCTTTCCAATAGCTCATTAGCCAGGGCATCCTCTGTCTTGAGAGGGATATCAGGAGTCAGATCAGTAAGAGAGGAAAAATAGAGCAAAGAGGCAAGGAGACAGAGGAGAGACAGAGTAAGCAAGAGAGAAACACCCAGGGCTTAATGTCAGAGTGACTGCAATAATTAAAACACATTTTGTAGTGAGTAATGAAACTTTTTATGGGACCACAAAAGCATTTAAAGTGAGAGCTGGCAAATAGTCTGTCAGCGAGAACTTTTTAAGACCTTGATTAATACTTTCCCTCCACCACCCCCCAGTTAAGTATGTTGACAGCCTCCAAAGCCTTTATTGCACATCCCTGGAGCAGGGCTGTCTCCAGGAGTGGTCTCCAAGTGATACCTCTTGCCATTTAATAATATCAGATATTTTCTTGTTAAATATATATAATGCATAAATATAATTATTTATATCTCTGGAGACTGGGCTGCTCTGAAAAGGTGTCAGGGAGAGACTGGAGCAACCACAGAGCTTGCTAATAACCCAACGCCCATAAAACTGACCCATTGTGAGCTCTCAGCTCCCAGCTGCCAGGGGCACTGGGAGAGGGAAGAGCCACTGGTTTTGGTGGAGGCTGCTGCCGTGGTGAGCACACAGAGCTGGGAGCCAGCAGGTCTGGCTCTTGGGCAGCCTGGGCTGCCAAGTCATCTTCCCCATCTGCCAGGCAGGGGTAATTGCACTCACCCGTCCCTTTAGGGGCTCTGTGATCGAATTCCTGGTGTCTGCAAAGGACTGGGAGAGCCTTGGGTGGAAGGCAGAGGGCTTTGTCCAGGGTTTTGTCATCCCTGTGGTCAAAGCCAGTCTTCTGCTTCCCAGCCCCAAGGCACATTGCCATGGAGGTGCCAGCAGAGCTGGCAGTGCTCTGTGCCCTGGGCGTGGCTCCTGCTCTGTGCATGCCCCTGGGCAAGGGACAGCAGCTTTTGTAGGGGCTGCAGGCAGCCAGCAGGCAGCAGTCCCCTGGCACCAGGGAGCTCTGGAGCTTGTCCTGTGTGGGGACAGGCCCCAGGGTGACGCACAGCTCTGGCTCTGTCCCACAGCCGATGCTCAGCAGGGCTTGGCTCTCCACTCCTGGGGCGGTGCGCACAGCGCACATGGACAGACACATGTTCGTGTGGGCACCTCTGGGGCGCAGACCCACCTTCCTGGGCACCCAGAAAGATTGTATGTGGGCACACCACAGCACCCCCTCCTCGCTGGCTGCTGCTGCCTGCCCCAGCACGTGGCATGGACCGATAACCCCCTGCTCCACCTTGGCATGAGCTGCCGTGGGTCCTGCCTGCCCAACACACACCCGCTTGCTGCAACCTGGGCCCTGCCCAGCATGTTTACTGAGCATTCTCAGATACACAGGCACCCCCATTAAATATTCCTCTACTCAGATGTCCGCATGGTTGCAACACAGCGTGAAGAAAGCCAGAGCAGTGAAATGTGAGGCTAACGCTGCTCTGCGCCCGCACAGACAGAACAACAACACAAACACGGGCACGGGGTCATTTCTTAAATTGAATTTCTTCTGCTTGTTTCATTCGTTTCTGTGGAAAAATAGCTATCTATAATAGCTCTGGGCTGGGTATAATCCTGATTATAGCCACTCGCAGGGCTCTGTGCTGTTCTCTAGGCTGGGAGGTAAGCACACAGTCTGCAGCATCAGAGCTCTTCAAAAACAAATTATTTGCTTCTGCAGTAGTCTGAGGGTATCACATAACCCTAGCAAGGGGACTGGGAGGTCATGGAAGTCTCTTCTGCCCTGTAAATGTGTCGAACATCCTGTCCTTTTCTTCTGTAGTACCTACAGCAATTACCCTCTGCTGTGGACCATTCATTTGGAGTACTACCAGCCTGAGATCAAAGCTGGGCTGGAGTATGAAAACAAACCCCAAAAAATGTTCTACAAGCAAACAAATAAACAAAGTCTGATTGATTCCTTTGCTTTTAAGACTTCTGTAATTCCAAAACATAAATGAACAAAAGGAGAACTAATTTCTTTGTCCTTTTCAGTTTCAGTCTGAGGAAAATATGTTGCCTGTCAGCCCTTTTCTTCCCCTTGCCTTTAGCACACTGGGGCTAAGATGCCAGTCCCTGCATAGAGGGTTTTCCAGGGCAAGTAGATCATGTCAACAAAGACACATGCTCCAAAGGCTCGTGTACACGTGTGGACACCCCTGCCAGTGTGCCACACATGGGTGTCCATCCGTGGAGATCCATGCTGCATTCATGGGAATGTACTCCCAGGGACCTATGCATGGGTACTGAGGATAGTCCTTGAAGACTGTTGAGTTTTGTTGCAGTTCTTAAAAAGCAAAAATCTTATATTCTTGTGAAATGGAGAAGGTATTGCTCTCCCCTGAGGTCAGCTGGACCAGAGCTGTCTGTCAAGCTTCCCCCCAGGTGGATCTGTAAGAGAATGAGGTGAGGAGGGCAGAGGGAGAGATGTCGATGTATCTGTGAAGTGCTCACCTTGCATGGACCAGCCAGCCTGGACAGCAGCCAGTGCCACTCAGAGGGATGGTTTGGGAGCCTTGGGAGCACCAGACTTTGACAGGCAGCTTGTGATGAACCAAAAACAAAACAACAGTCAGGAGGAAGGGCTCTGGCTTGTCTCAGAGATCAAACACAGCTTGGAGGACTGAGCACCCCACAAACCCATCCCGTCTCTTCACTGTGGAGGCAGGAGCTTCCCCTGGGCACCCCACAGCCTCCCTGAGCCTTCATCCCAACTCATCCATCTCGGCTCTCACCCCATTGCTCAGGGAGTGCCTGGGGATGCCTCACGGCTGAGCTGTACCTGCTTGGCTACCAGAAGGCAGCTTTGCCAGCCCAGCACGTTTGCTTCAGATACTTGGGGAGACACCAAGTATCCCTCAGCCAAAAAGCGAAATTCTGGAAAGGGAAATGAAAACCCCCTCCAGCTCCTCAATGGAGCTGCAGTGCAAACACACCAACTGCTTCCCTGCACCACAGATACTATAATTATAGATTAGATTAAATCCCAATGTTTCACTTTATTTACATTCCTGACCTAGCCTATTCATTTCCAGTGTTTGTGCCAAGAATCAGCACAAAATTTACTGGAAATAATATGGAAGTCATCAGGATTCCTTCCAGAGCCTTTCCTTGGAGTGTGTTCATGTGCTGTGAAGAAGCCTTTACATTCCCTTTGCTGGCTCAGATGGGGTTTCCCCAGGGTGATCATGAACCAGCCCAGAGGCTCTGGGAGAGCACGTTTCAGGGGTGTTGGAAAGGTGGAAACCTCTTCCTAGGGGTTGAAGATTCAGGACTGCTGTTGGAGGGGAGGGGATTCAGTCAGAGCTCACAATGACAACACGAGGCTCCCGTCTGCAGCCAGGACCCACCAGCTCCTGCCCAGGCAGTGTCACCCTCTGAGGGTCTGCAGGCCATCAACAGCATGGCCAGGCTCAGCTTGGGATAACACGGAACATCCCTTTTTTGGTGAGCTTAAGGAAAAAGGCAGGGGTGTGGAGCAGGGAGAGCCCATCAGAGCATGGAGAGGCGGCGGCTGCAATCCCACAGGCTGAACGTGCTGAAGGAGCTGGCCTGGAGCGAGGCTGATTAATGCAGAGTGACCTCTGCCGTGTGCATAGCTGGGATAAAAAGTGGGATGGAAAATCCTTGGTGCTCAAGAGTGTGTTAATGCTGGCAGCAGTCCCCTGCTCCTTACATGATGCTAATTGTTGTTGTTGGTCTTTCGTCAGGAAGACACGTGAATGAGCGCTGGAGCAATTGGAGGCAGATCCCAAATAGCTCCATGGCATGGGTTAAAACACATCTGTTACAGCCCCTGGCCAGGTCCCCTGTGTGCACAGGAGCTGTGCTGCTTCACTGAATCCACCTCTCCCGTTCCACGTGCTCTCCAGCTTCCCAAAGCTGAGTGGTGCAGGGCTGTAGTTTCTCCTCAGGCATTCCTGGCTTACAGGAGCTCAAACAAGGCAAGTCAGGAGCTGATTTTGCTAAATCCTTAGCATGTACTCCAAATGCAGGCTCATTCTTTCTCAGCACTTTGGGTTCGTGGCAGAACCAGGCTGCCCAAGCACCGGCTCAGGTGTGTGGCTGCTTTTGCTGAAGTGAGTCCAGCACAGAGCCCTCTGGGCTCACCTGGGCTGTGTGTGGATCACTGGCTTCCAGGGGGATTGGCCCCATGGAAGATGGGCTGTACAGGGAGGTCAGGGGCTCAGCAGAAGGGTACAATCTCTGCACTCATTTCCATGAAGTCCAATTTATGGAGGTGGGATGGGCTCCTGCTGAGGCTCCAGCATCAGGAGGATACACATCTAAAAACCACAGAGAAGACATTCAGGTTTTCTTCATGGCCAGTCAAGCTCTTCCCACCTT